CTGATTCCAAAACTTGATGAAAGCTCTAGATAAATATCTCTTATAAATACCATGGGGAAAATTCAAAACAAAATAGAAGCAAACGGAATTTAGAAGCACATGAAAAGAATACTACATTAAGACCACGCCTAAGACAATACTAGGAAATGTGCTAATATACTTACTTGATCATATTAATTGGACGGCAGAAGAATTAAATGATTGTTTCCATAGTTGGAAAAGCATTTGACAAAATTCGATAAAATAAGAATAGATGGAAATGTCCCCAATATGACATAATATATCCATCTCAGCCAGGCTCAGTCTTCACAGGGAAATTCAAAAGGTGTCCTATCCCCATCAATGTAGGCAATAATCATTATCTCTATTGCTATTGATTTGTTCCAGAATTACTGGCAAATGCAACTGGAAAAGAAATTAGAAGTATAAAAATTGAAAAGGAGAGAAAGTCTTATTATGTGCAGAAAACTTGCTTTGATTCTGGAAAACTCCAGATGATTTGTTAAAAAGTGATTACAAGCTATAAAAGAACAAGAGAACAGAGTTACATTAAAAATACATATATATATCTTTCATACACACACACACACACACACACACACACACTTGCACACCCAAAGTTGTAGTGGAAGGAAAAACAATGATTCTCAGTTACTTTTGTAACAAGATAAAATACTAGACATGAGCACTATAAGAAGTTTTAAGCTCAACATGAAAAAAAAAACCGTTTTAAACTATTGATGAACACAAAAGAAGACATTTGGAAAAGCAAGCCAAGTTCCAGAGGCCAATGCTCCCTATGCTAATTTAAAAGGTTAACTTGATGCCAACGAAAATACAGTTTCTCTTCCTTTGACAAGACAAAGTGATGCTAAAACTCATGTGAAAAAATTAAAAAGACAGCCAGGAAGACTCTGAAAAAGAAGAGGAACAAAGAGAGGGATTCTCCTGGCAGATATTAAGACATATTATAACACTTCGGTCGTTAAAACAGTGTGAGACTAGAAAAGAAACAGACTGGATGAAGCCACAATTACAGAAGGTCCAGGTAGACTCAGGGCACATGGAGGACTGTGGTACAGGAAAGAGGAGGCATCTCAAATCAGCCGGAAGAAAATGGCCAACCTACAGACCACTTACCACATGCGCCAAGATAAACTACAAATGGATTAAAAAGTCAAATCAGAAAAGAAAAAAAATCATCCAGTATATAAACAATTCGGCATTTAAAAGCACAAACAATCTGATTAAAAAATGAGCAGAAATGAATAGACATTTTTCCAAAGAGGACATGCACATGGCCGACACGCACACAAAAAGATGCTCAATGTCGCTAATCAGCAGGGAAATGCAAATCACAACCACAGTGAGAAATCACCCCACACCTGTCAGAATGACCATCATCAAAAAGAACACGAATAACCGGTTGGTAAGGATGTGGAGGAAAGGGAACCCTCATATGCTGTTGGTGAGAATGCAAATGCATGAAGCCAGTGTGGAAAACAATATGGAGGTTTCTCAAAAAACTAAAAACAGAACTACCGTATGTCCCAGCAATTTCATACTTGGGCGTATATCGAAAAATAGCAAAACTACTAATTTGAAAAAACACATGCCCTCCAATGTTCATACAAGTAGTGTTTAAAATAGACAAGATATGGAAGAAAGCTAAATGTCCATCAATGGATGATGGACATTCATTCATGTCCATGAATGGTGCGGTGGATATACATATATACAATGGAATACTTCTCAGCCACAAAACAAGAACAGACTGTTGCCATTTGCAGCAACATCGACGGAGCCGGAGGGCATTGAGTAAAATGTCAGACAGAGAAAGACAAGTACTGTATGATCTCACCTACATGTGGAGTCTAAAAAATAGAACAATCAAAAAATAAATAAATAAAGCAATCTAGTAAGTAAATCCAAAAAGAAACAACTCACAGATAACAGAGAATAAGTTAGTGTTTACCAGTGGGGAGAGAGGTGGGGAGAAGGGAAAGATAGTGGTAGCAGGAAAAAAGGGTTATTATGGAATTATATGAAATCATGTGAGTGAAACAAATCATAGAAGGGTCAGAAGCAAACATGGAAGGATTCCTTATAAGTATATAATGGGGAAGGTCTTTTCATTATTTTGATTTCTATCCAAAACTGGATTTTAAAAATTCAGCTGCATTAAATGTAGTATATAAATATAGACGCTCACAAAACGGCGAGTTGGAAGGCGCTGCACCCTTGTTTTGTCTTATTCAGACAGAATTTCTTGCTCTGATAGATGAAAGCAAAGTTCACTTACAGTTTCTCCCTACCTCCCTCATACAGTGAAATTAGACTTTCATTTCCTCTGTGAGATACAGCACATGTATGTGTGTCTGTGTGTTTCCTGATTGAAGTAGAGTCAGTTGACGATGTTGTGTTAGTTACCTCTGGACGGCAAAGTAATTCAGCTACACACGTGTATACGTTCGTTTTTATATTCTTTTCCCTTATGGTTTCTTGTAAGATAGGGAACACACCTCCCTGTGCTCTATAGGAGGCCCTAGTGGTGTATCCATCCCGCCTCTGCTAAGCCCGGCCTCTCACTCTATCCCTCCCCCAACCCCGACCCTCTTGAGAGTCACAAGTCTCTTCTCTATGTCCGGAAATCTCCTTCTGTTTTGTAGCTGGTTCATTTGTGTCATATTTTAGATTCACGTGTTAGTGATGGGATACTATGGTACTTGTCTTTCTCATTCTGACATGCTTCACTCAGTATGATAAACTCTAGGTGCAGCCATGATGCTGCTGATGGCACTATTTCATTCTAAGTAGCATCCCATTGTATGTATACACCGTATCTTCATCCACTCATCTGCTGATGAACATGTAAGTCGTTTCCATGTCTTGGCTGCTGTAAATAGCGCTGCTATGAACATAGGGGCGCCTGCATCTTTGAATTACCATTTTGTCTTGATATACGCCCAGGAGTGGGATTGCTGGGTCACATGGTAGTTCTATTTTTAGTTTCCCGAAGAACCTCCATATTCTCTTCCACAGTGGCTGCACCAACTTACATTGCCACCAACAGAGGAGGAGGCTTTCCTCTTCTCTGAGACACATTTTTATGTTTTTATTTTATTTTATTTTATTTTATTTTTTTTTCTGAGACACATTTTTAATGAAGCAATTCGTTTTCACATGATTGGGCCAGGCTCTGGGAATTTTAGAATGAGAAGAAATATGTGAGTCCATCTGAGATGACCCCATCAAACCAGACGGACAGAAAGTATCACGGGCTGAACTGCACCCACTGACCAAATGTCATACTTTGAGGTGCTGACCCCCAGCGCCTCAGGATGTAGCTGTATTTGGAGACAGGCTCTTTGAAGAGGCAACTAAAGTAGAATGAGGGGCTTCCCTGGCGGCTCAGGGGTGACGAATCCGCCCGTCAGCACAGGTGGTGGTGATGGTTTAGTTGTGTCTCAGTGGCTCAGTCGCGTCCGACTCTTTGCAACCCCACGGACTGTAGCTCGCCAGGCTCCTCTGTCCATGGGATTCTCCAGGCAAGAGTACTGGAGTGTGTTGCCGTTTCTTTCTCCAGTCAGTGCAGGAGATGGAACCGATCCCAGGTCCAGGAAGATCCCACACGCCACAGAGCAACTAAGCCCACATGCACACCGCAATAAGCGAGGCCGTGCTCCACAACAGGACAAGCCACTGTGAGGAGAAGCTTGAGCACCGCACCTACAGACAAGCCCTCCCAGCAGCCAAGACCCCGCACAGTTGAAATAAATCGCTGTTGTCATTCGGTTGCTAAGTCTCCTGTGACTCTTTCAGTCTCATGGACTCCAGCACACCAGGCTTCCCTGTCCTTCACTGTCTCCCTGAATTTGCTCAAGCTCACGTCCATTGAGTTGGTGATGCCATCCAACCATCTCATCCTCTGTCGCCCCCTTCTCCTCCTGCCCTCCATTTTTCCCAGCATCAGGGTCTTTTCCAAAGAGTCGGCTCTTCACACCAGGTGGCCCAAGTATTGGAGCTTCAGCTTCAGCATCAGTCCTTCCAATGAAAATTCAGGATTGGTTTCCTTTAGGATGGACCAGTTTGATCTCCTTGCAGTCCAAGCGACTCTCAAGAGTATTCTCCAGCACCACAGTTCAAAAGCATCAGTTCTTCTGCGCAGAGTCTTCTTTAAGGTCCAGCTCTCACATCTGTACATGACTATTGGAAAAATCATAGCTATAAATAAATAAATAAAGTTATTTAAAAAATAAAGTAAAATGGGGTCACCAGATCAGGCCCTAACCCACAAGAGAAGAACAATGCTCCTTGCAAGCACCATCTTTTTTCCCCAGATGTTGGGAAACAAAAAAGGACCCATTTTCCAGGTGCTGTGACCAGTTTCATTTCCACCCTGAAAAATTCTCCAAAAGCAGTCATGTTCTTTGCAGCGTTGCTTTTTCTTCTTACCCTTTTAGAAGCTCAAGTATTTTGAGAGAAATTTAATCCTTATGCACCAGATTCATTTATACTGAAATCATCAAAATGCTTTGTGTCTGTCTAAGGGGATTGTGGTGTTCCTTTTATAGACCCATCTAAGCCATTTTTGCTTTGAATCACGTTTCGGCAGCTATAAATGAATTCAGACCCTCTCCTGCCCCCTGCATCCCGTTCTGTGTCATTGTGAGAACACTCAAAATCAAGAAAAGCGCTAAATTTGGCCAAACGAGTTTTGCTCTCGTCACCTACCAAGACTGAAATGCTGCTTATGGAAGAGGCTGCAGGAGGTTCCGTGTGCTTCTGGGACCTGGGAGGCTTAACTGGCCCGTGGTCGTGGTGCCCCCTGGTCTGGATAACGAACAAGGCAGAGACCTCAGCATCTCCTGGGGGCAGTGGGACCCTACATTCAGAGGGTACACCCCCCACTCCTAGCTTGAGAAACTCTGCCTGATGTCTGGCCCAGTGCTTCTCAAACGTGGCTACATCTCAGAATCACCTGGAAGCTTTAAACAAACCTGAATGGATTCAGCGGGCCGGCCAGTGGGTGGCCCGGCCTCTTCTCCCAAAGCTGCCCCCGGGGCCCTCCAGGTGAGAGCTGCCTGCACAGGGCCAGGCAGCAAGGAGGGCCTGACGGAGACGCGGTCGAGGTGGCTCCGAGGCACGAGGCTCGGACAGCTGTGGGAGACTGGCCAAGGGCACGGGCCCCTGGAGCGCGGCCCCCCAGTCTCCCCTGGAGCGCGGCCCCCCCAGTCTCCCCTGGAGCACGGCCCCCCCAGTCTCCCCTGGAGCGCGGCTCCCCAGTCTCTCCTGGAGCGCGGCCCCCCAGTCTCCCCTGGAGCGCGGCCCCCCCAGTCTCCCCTGGGGCACGGCCCCCCCAGTCTCCCCTGGAGCGCGGCCCCCCAGTCTCTCCTGGAGCGCGGCCCCCCCAGTCTCCCCTGGAGCGCGGCCCCCCAGCCTCTCCTGGAGCGCGGCCCCCCCAGCCTCTCCTGGAGCACGGCTCCCCCAGTCTCCCCTGGGGCACGGCTCCCCCAGCCTCCCCTTGGAGCACGGCCCCCCCAGTCTCCCCTGGAGCGCGGCCCCCCCAGTCTCCCCTGGAGCGCGGCCCCCCCAGCCTCTCCTGGAGCACGGCTCCCCCAGCCTCCCCTGGAGCACGGCTCCCCCAGTCTCTCCTGGGGCACGGCCCCCCCAGTCTCCCCTGGAGCACGGCTCCCCCAGTCTCCCCTGGAGCGCGGCTCCCCCAGTCTCCCCTGGAGCGCGGCTCCCCCAGTCTCTCCTGGAGCACGGCTCCCCCAGTCTCTCCTGGGGCACGGCCCCCCCAGTCTCCCCTGGAGCGCGGCCCCCCCAGTCTCCCCTGGAGCGCGGCTCCCCCAGTCTCCCCTGGGGCACGGCCCCCCCAGTCTCCCCTGGAGCACGGCTCCCCCAGTCTCTCCTGGAGCACGGCTCCCCCAGTCTCTCCTGGGGCACGGCCCCCCCAGTCTCCCCTGGAGCGCGGCCCCCCCAGTCTCCCCTGGAGCGCGGCTCCCCCAGTCTCCCCTGGAGCGCGGCCCCCCAGTCTCCCCTGGGGCACGGCCCCCCCAGTCTCTCCTGGAGCACAGCTCCCCCAGCCTCTCCTGGAGCACGGCTCCCCCAGTCTCTCCTGGGGCACGGCCCCCCCAGTCTCCCCTGGAGCACGGCTCCCCCAGTCTCTCCTGGGGCACGGCCCCCCCAGTCTCCCCTGGAGCGCGGCCCCCCCAGTCTCCCCTGGAGCGCGGCCCCCCAGTTTCCCCTGGGGCACGGCCCCCCCAGTCTCTCCTGGAGCACAGCTCCCCCAGCCTCTCCTGGAGCACGGCTCCCCCAGTCTCCCCTGGAGCGCGGCTCCCCCAGTCTATCCTGGAGTGCGGCTCCCCCAGCCTCTCCTGGAGCACGGCTCCCCCAGCCTCTCCTGGGGCACGGCTCCCCCAGCCTCTCCTGGAGCACGGCTCCCCCAGTCTCCCCTGGGGCACGGCTCCCCCAGCCTCTCCTGGAGCACGGCCCCCCCAGTCTCCCCTGGAGCACGGCTCCCCCAGTCTCCCCTGGGGCACGGCTCCCCCAGCCTCTCCTGGGGCACGGCTCCCCCAGTCTCCCCTGGAGCACGGCTCCCCCAGCCTCTCCTGGAGCACGGCCCCCCCAGTCTCCCCTGGAGCACGGCTCCCCCAGTCTCTCCTGGAGCACGGCCCCCCCAGTCTCCCCTGGAGCACGGCTCCCCCAGCCTCTCCTGGAGCACGGCCCCCCCAGTCTCCCCTGGAGCACGGCTCCCCCAGTCTCCCCTGGAGCACGGCCCCCCCAGTCTCCCCTGGAGCACGGCTCCCCCAGTCTCCCCTGGAGCGCGGCTCCCCCAGTCTCCCCTTGGAGCACGGCTCCCCCAGTCTCCCCTGGGGCACGGCTCCCCCAGCCTCTCCTGGGGCACGGCTCCCCCAGTCTCCCCTGGAGCACGGCTCCCCCAGCCTCTCCTGGAGCACGGCCCCCCCAGTCTCCCCTGGAGCACGGCTCCCCCAGCCTCTCCTGGAGCACGGCCCCCCCAGTCTCCCCTGGAGCACGGCTCCCCCAGTCTCTCCTGGAGCACGGCCCCCCCAGTCTCCCCTGGAGCACGGCTCCCCCAGCCTCCCCTGGAGCACGGCTCCCCCAGCCTCTCCTGGGGCACGGCTCCCCCAGTCTCTCCTGGAGCACGGCTCCCCCAGTCTCCCCTGGAGCACGGCTCCCCCAGTCTCTCCTGGAGCGCGGCTCCCCCAGTCTCCCCCCGCTGACCCCCCCCATGAAGGGCAATGGGGAGGCTTCTCTGGCCACTGGCGTTGCCTCCTTGGCTCCACAGTCCTGTCCAGCCTGCGGGGGTGGGGTGGCCACGGCACCCCTTTAAGTGTCTTCTTGCCCCCTGGACTTTTAACCTGAGTCTCCTCGGCTGGATGTAAACTCCCAAAGCAGGGCCTGTGTCTCTGAGCCGCTGGTCTTCCTAGGGGACAGCGTGGGGAAGCGGTCTCCAGGGCAAGAATGAAAATGGAGGACTTGGCTGGTCCCAGAGACCTTGGAGAGTCATCAAAAGGCATAAAACGGAGGCTGACATCACGCAGGGGACTGTCAAGGGGGTGAATGGGAGAATGCGGGAAACACTTAACATGGAGCCAGGCAAACACGCCACAGTCCCCTGCAACCCTCAGACCATCGGCGTTCACCTGTCCTGGCCGATGGCCGGATCACCGAGGAGAAAAAGGATCCGTCTGCTACCAGAAGAGGCCAGAGGTTCTTCCCTTAGTGGCAGCAGGCTGGCACCTCCACCCCCGGGAAGTGGTGGCCAGTGGAGGGGTGATCAGCACCTGCCGAGTCTGCCTGAAATTCAGGGACCCCGGAGTCATCTTCATGTCTCCCTCCTGCCCGGAGGCCCGGCCAGCTTACAGCATAACCTGGCCCCTGCACGGGGCCTCTCAGGACCACTGACTCAGGTCTGTGCCAGCTTCATCACAGATGTTTCCCTTCAATGACAGCAAGTGGACCTTAATGTGTCCCAGACCCGGTGACCATCAGATCCTAGGGAGACAGGTGGGGGGCACAGAGCCAGCCCTTCCCAGCAACTCTCCGACTCGGGGCCACCAGGTGAGGGGTGCTGTGACCGGCCCGGCCCACTCCGGCACCTGGTTTTAACCACCATTCCCAGAGATGAGGGATTGGCCCGGCTCTGCCTGGGGGTCCAGCTTCTGGGGGTCCCTCCTCTGGGGCTGCAGCAGAAAGAGGACCTGTCAGGTTGGGCCCGAAACTGGCCCCCCAGGTGAGGATGGAGGTGACGCTACCTGCGGGGCTGCCCATGGTCACCTTGATTACTGCTGCCATCTCAGATTCGGGCTGGGGTAGCCCAGCCTAGCCCTAGGCTCCGGCATGTGACTCTGAGTCTCCTCCAGGACTGGATTTGGCTTGCCCACAAATCCAGGTGCGTGGAGGCCACCCCCACCTCCCAACCGGAAGCCCCGGTGAGGGAAGAGGGGATGGGAGGCCCAGCAGCATCGTGCCTTCTCTGCCCAGGCAGGCTGATCACCCCTTCCTCTGTCCCTGGGACAGCATCTCGCCAAAGGGAAGTTCCAGCCCGCAGCCTCTGTGAGCAGGATGAAGGCTGATTCACAAAATACATCAGTCTGCTCAGCTACAGAGAGGGTCCCAAGCACGGTCCCCAATCAACAGCATTTATTTCTCCCAGTTGGAGGCTGGACTCCCAGACCCGAGTGCGAGCAGGGCTGGTGCTCCTGAGGCCTCTCTCCTGGGCGTGCAGACGGCCGTCTCCTCCCCGTGTCCTCCCAGGGCCGTCCCTCTGTGTGTGTCTGCGTCCTGACCCCTTCCTATAAGGACCCCAGTCCCACGGGATCAGGACCCACCCTAGTGACCTCAACTTAACTTGATCATCTGCAAAGACCTTGTTTCCGACTGAGGCCACAGCCACGGGTCCTGAGGGTTACGACTCCCACATCTTTTGGGCGTCACAGGTCAGTGCCAAGCTCAGCACAAGGGAGGTGGACTCCACGCCGCCTTCCCTCCAGGCCAGGAGAGGCACTGCCCGCCCCCACGCCGGGGAAGCTGGGCAGGAAGCAGGCCCTGCACTTGCACTTACCCGTGCACTTGTGGGTGAGGGAGCCACGTGGGGTTCTTCCTCTCACCTGGTGGTTGCCCCAGGCAGATGCAGCCGGAGGCCAAGTGGGCAGAGCTGACCACACCTGGCCAGACTTTTAAAAATTGCTTGCTATTGTTGTCGTTCCTGGGTCAGCAAGATCCCCTGGAGGAGGGCATGGCCACCCAGTCCAGTATTCTTGCCTGGAGAATCCCGTGGACAGATGAACCTGGCGGGCTACAGCACATGGGGTCGCAAAGAGTGGCACACGAGTGAGTGAGTGACACTTGTACTTATTGTTGTCTTCATGATGCAGCCACAGCTCCATTTGGAAAAGAAACAGCCTCGAGCCACGGTCACTTCTGATCTTCGCATACATACAGGTGGCCCCCCAGGTGTGAGCTCCTGGCGCCTGCCCCTGGCACTGTGGGCAAACACCCACTGAGTCCTGGTCTGACGGAGACCTTCCCCAGGAGTCCCACCAGGGAGATGGGACCCCTTCTACAGGTCACCTGAGTCCCACAGCCCCGAGCCTCAGCTTGGATGACCATCCCGCTCCAACAAGGAGCTTCAGAAAGGAGGGCCGTGACCCACCCCCGCCCCCATCAGCACAGCCCTCCTTGCTCCTGCTGGGCGACCACCAGTGGCCTCCAGTCACAGTCCCAGCGTCGAGTCTGGGAAGCACTGGTCAGTGGTTACTCACCCCCTCGCCAGACCCTGAGGGCCCCTGGCTGGACAGTGAGGTGTTCACAGGGGGCAGGTTACAGCCTGTGGTGCAGCCCCTCCACGTGGATGGGAGAAGTAGGTGCTGGAAACCTGGAGGGCGGGGCTTAGGACGATATCTGCGTCCACCTGGTTGAAGCCTGCAGGGACCTCTGGACCCCTGGACTCTCCCAGGACTTACAGACAGGCGGAAGTGGAGGGCGCTGACCCCTGCCCAGAGAAGCATCCTGGACTCCAGGCCCAGGAGCCAGAGGCTGTCAGGACTGGCTGGTCGTGGAGGGGCCCAGGGCGTGCCCACCCCAAACCGCTGGTCTCCTGCAACCAGAGACAAAGACCCTGGTGGAGAAGGCAGGGCGGCAGCCAGCCTCCGAGCTGGCCCGGGGGCCCGCCGGCCGCCTGGTGTTGGTGCTTTTGTGCAGGTCCCTCCCACGGAGAGTGGGATGCACTGGAGAGGCCGGGTCCTCCCTGGGACCCTCACTCTGGGGCAGCTGGCCTCCACATCGTGAGGATGCTCGTGCAGCCTGTGGGGAGGCCCGTGGGTGAGGACATGAGGCTCTTGGAGGCGGCTCCCCCAGCGCCCGTCAAGCCTTCAGATGAGGACACTCCAGCCACACCTCAGGTACAACCTCACAACAGAGCCTGAGCCAGGACCCGTCATCTGGAGCCCCTCCCCAGTTCCTCACCCTCAGAAACTGAGATAACGAATGTGTACCCTTGCCTTCAGGCGCTACGCTTGAGGGGTCACTTGTTACATAGCACCACGTGACTGATGGGCTTCCCTGGTGACTCAGGGGTAAAGGATCCTCCTGCCAAGGCAGGAGATGCTGGTTCAATCCCTGCATCAGGAAGATTCCCCTGGGGGAGGAAATGGCAACCCACTCCAGTATTCTGGCCTGGGAAATCCCATGACGGAGGAGCCTGGTGGGTCACAAAGAGTCAGACAAGACTTAGCGAATAAACAACAACAAAAGGCAACTGATACACACAGTGAGGTTTACAACCTTGGGATCAGGGAGTGAAGTCTGGAGGCTTGGAGGCTCTGGTCAGTTTAGGTGTACAGCCCTGGGTCCTGGCCAGGAGGCGGGCACCCACAGCCAAGGTTCCCAGAGGAAGCCACAAGTTATGAAACAGGATCTCAGGCGGGGCAAAATGCGCAGAGGGACAGAAAGAGCAGTGATGGGCATCTATGCCCCTCCTTCACCGCCTGCCGGTGTGGACAATCCCAGTGAGGTCAGCCAGGCCAGGACCTGGGTCTTAGACCCCGGGTTTAGTGCTACAACCATCCAAAGTTATATTTGATTATATTTGACAACTGGTTGTTACCAAGTCACTGGCTCACTCCAGCTACGCACTGGAGAATAAATCCCATTTTCCAGAGTTGAAAACTGAGAACAGAACAGTTAAATAAGCACCTAGAAGTGAGAGACAGAGAACTCCCAGGTGTTCCTGGGGGTCTGGGTGCAGTGGAAGTGTGGCCAGGTCGGGGGAACCAAAGTGCCTTCCTCCACCCGAGGCACGTCACTCCCTGCACGAGAGGACCTCGGCCGACACGCGTGAGCTCAGCTTCCCTCAGATCTAGGTCCCGGGAGAGACCGAGCCAGCCGGTCCCAGGTCCCACATCCTCAGCATCTGCCTGCAGGCGTCTATGCAAGGCGAAGAGGAACGGCTGACCCCAGGCAAGGAAATGGGTTAAGGAGGCTGACGATGGACATGGAGATGCTCATTCAGACTGAAAGAGAAACACAAATACCATGTAATAATGCATGTGTGTGGAATCGAGAAAATGGTACAGATGATCTTATTTGCAAAACAGAAATTGAGACACAGATGTAGCGAATAAATGTGTGGACACCAAGGAGGGAAAGGGGATGGGATGCACTGGGAGGTTGGGACTGACATATGTATGCTGTTGATACTGTGTATGTAATGCATCACTAACGAGGACATGCCACACAGCTCCGGGGACTCTACGCAAAGCTCTGTGGTGACATAAATGGGAAGGAAATTAAAGAAGGGATGCGCACACGTACAGCTGATTCCCTTGGCTGTACCGCGGAAACTAACAGAGCAGTTAGTACAGCATTTAGCTGTACTCAACTAAAAATTAATTGGAAAAAAGAAGAAGAAGCTGGAGATGCCAGTAGGTTTGGGTTCAGCCCACCCTGCAGGGGTGTGAGCAGCCCTGCAGAAGGGGTCCCGGGCGGCCGTGATGCCCCAACTCTAAGTGGCGGTGGGTGCCTTCCTTGGGGTTCCCAGTCCTCCACCCTCCACATACCTCTGCCTCTTGAAACGAGATCCCACAGGCCATCTAAGCCTTCAGATGCCTGTAATTCCTTGGCTAATGCTTAGCTTAATTAAGACATTGACTTTAATGGCATTCTCACCGATTACTTTACGAAATGGCAGGTCTGTAAGAGGATATTTCCTGGTGAGCAGGGATATCAGGATGAAATCTCCAAGTCATCATTTCAACAGAGGAAGTTATCGGCTACCTGGGGCAGCGCTGGCCCGGCCACACAATTGGCCTGCTGTTCCGAGCGTTATTTAAGAGGCTGAGGCATCTACATCCCCCAGCAGTCAGTGAGGGGGGAAAAAAGTTCAATTGAGGAAGTTAGCTCTGCCTATGGGCCTTCTCGGTGTTTGCTTTGCTTTGATGCAAAGGAAAAGTAAGCGCTATACGTTTGAACTCGTGGCTTTATCTTTGCCAGACTTATGTCGTGCCTTCTAGTCGACTTTAAAAAAAAAAGTCATCTTAGGCTCAACTTGCATTTTTCCCTTTCTTTCTTTGTCTGTCTTTATTCCCTTTAGTTTAAAAAAAAATAAACAGCATATTTTCATAACATTAAGAGACCAGAATATTCGAAACTCAGGTCCCTCAGGAATGAGGCCACCACGCAGTTGCTATTAGAACGCGGGAATCCACTCACATCTACAGGTGCACCAGCCATCCACCTGATGGTTAGGATGGGGGACAAGGGGACGGGAAACTATTTGGTAAGGAATCAAATACGTAATTTCTCAAACCACTCTAACAAGAGAGGGGGGTCTACCACTTTGCTCAGGATAGCATCCCTTTTATTTTTTGGTCATGTTGCAAGCCATGTGGGATCTTAGTCCCCCAACCAGAGATCAAACCCATGTCCCCACTGCAATGGAAGCACAGAATCTTAACCACCGGAGCTTCAGGGAAGTCCCAATATCATATCCTCTTTTTCAGCCTGTAGCTCTGTTGCCAAAGAACAGTCTGATGGGAGCAGAAAGTGAATACGTCCCTAAGCTGACCTATGGGGGTGCATGAGGGGGCTCTTCCGGGGTCCTTGTCTGTCATCAACACAGACCAAAACAGGAGCCCTGTCGGAGCTGGGCCAGCAGCCCCCCACCCGCTCTCCACCCCTGGAGCCCCAGATGGATTCAGCAAGAGGATGTGTCAGTGCTTCGTGTCCTTTAGTGACCAGCTGGGCATTGAGGGTCCACAGCAGGAAGAAGCGCTAGTGAGAAGGCTCAAAACCCTGCTCGTGAATGTCACAGGAGGCATTAAAAGATGTCGACTTTGGAGAGGGTGGTTCCCAAGGCAGATCTCACCACGTGAACCTCTCCCCGCCTGCGCTGGGTGCCAGATTCAGATGCAGCACCATTCCTGTGTGTTCAGGCACGTGACCATCCTCCAGCAGGCAGTGATGATGGTGATGAAATCAGGAGGGCTTCCCTCAAACCCACAGTGGATAGAGTTAGCCATATTGGGGAGGACAGGACCACCTCCGACAAACTGGGGAAGGAAAAGACCCTGCCGTTATTTATCATCCTCCTCACTCTGAGTACCTCTGGGTTCCATGTGCCACAAGGAAGAAGGACCTTGCCCCCTTCCCCATGGCTGAGGCTGTCCAGCTTCTCACTCCCTTGGCCTCTGGGCAGCGGGCTCCTCTGCAAAGATGCACAGGCCACTTATATATCCAGTCCCCTTGGATTTATTTATCAGGTTGAAATCACCTCTTTTTTTCTTTTCCTTTATAGGATTCAGAGTTCTGTTGTTTATTCTAAAAGTTAAAGAGAAATCAAGATCATGAAAAGTTTAGAAAAAGCAATCAACTCTACGATATTTAATGTAATTTCCATAGCTCAAAAGCCACTCAGAAGACCTTTAGAATCCAAAAGCAAAGAATAAGAAATCATCTCTTTTTAATAAAAGCCCAAGGAGAGGGAATGGAAGCAGCTCTCTGAATGCAGAAGTGGGTCCAGGTCTGGCCCACATGGGTTTTCTCGTAACCCCTCTTGCAGATGGCATCATCGACTCAATGGACATGAGTTTGCGCAAACTCCGGGAGAGAGTGAAGAACAGGGAAGCTTAGCTTGCTGCCTTCCATGGGATCTCAAAGAGTCAGACACAACTTAGCAACTGAACAGCAACTTTTGCAGGGTCCTTGCCATGTGCCAGGCTGGGGGTGGGGGGCAGGCCAGAGAGGCCATGGGCAACAGTGTAGCCCCATCTCCAATTCTTCCCCCTTGTCAGTGGCTCTGCCCACACCCAACCCTCGCCACTGCAGAACCCCGTGGTCAGCCCACCAATGCGGCCACTCTGTCCCCTCAAGCTCACTGTGCCTCTGGGAAGCGTGGGCACCCACCCAGGTCCCCCTAGGAGCTCGGCCACCAGGAGCGCCCCCAGCCTCTGATGCTGGCTGTTCGGGCAGCTCCTGGTCCCGTTGTTGCCGCTGTTGTCGCTCAGTCTTGTCTGACTCTTTGCGACCCCATGGACGGCAGCACGCCAGGCCTCCCTGTCCTTCACCATCTCCCAGAGTTTGCTCAGATTCATGCCCTTGAGTCAGTGATACCATCCAACCGGCTCATCCTCTGTTCCCTCCTTCTCCTCCTGCCTTCAATCTTTCCCAGCATCAGGGTCTTTTCCAATGAGTCAGCTCTTTGCATCAGGTGGCCAAAATATTAGAGCTTTGGCTTCAGCTTCAGCCTCAGTCATTCCAATGAATATTCAGGGTTGATATCCTTTAGGATTGACTGGTTTCATCTCCTTGCAGTCCAAGGGGCTCTCAAGAGCCTTCTCCAAAACCACAGTTCGAAAGCATCAATTCTTCAATGCTCAACCTTCTTTATGGCCCAGCTCTCACATCCATGCGTGACTACGGGAAAAACCTTAGCTTTGACTTGGTCCAGGGAGATCCCTCAACTCCATGGGAGCCCTGACTTATAGAATCACATTTCGGCCACCATGGGAAACCACAGCCAGCGTCTGGCTAACCTGGTTGGGGGTGTACAAAACGCCCCCGTGGTGGCCTCAAGGGGCCACAAGTCTGTTGGTCCCACATCTGACACTCCAGAGCTCCATGAGGGCCCAGGCTGAGGCCAGTCTCCGGCTGAGACTACCACCTCACTGAGGTTCGTCCCCTGCCCCATCCTGCCTCCTTCGCTTCCTTTCTCTTGAGAGACCCCTCTCAGTAAATCAAGTGAACCCCAGCCCTCGCCTCAGGCCCTGCATCCAGGAAACCTGACCCAGGACCCTACCCTTTTGTGTCTCTGTAACGTCATGAAAGAACCACCTTCCCTTTGTCAGGGGCCAAATTGTCTCCCCCAAAGAGCTATGTGTTGGGGTCCCCAAATGTATATGTATATACGTGTGCATATATCTTATCCTCACTTGTCTTACAGTAGTCACATATACTCCTCTCCCTCCCAGTGCAGATTTTGTGATTTAATTTATCCTTCCATCCACCCTAGTAAATTCTCCATCGATGTCTGTCGAGCTAAAACAGCCTGGGATTGAGTTTCTCGAGTCCGCAGGCCGGCCACCTCCCTCCTCCCCCGCCGCCCAGCGCAGGGGCACCCCTGATGGTATCGCAGACCTACACGAGGTACAGGACAGGCTCAAACACCGGCTCCATTCAGACGGCCCTAGGGACACAGGCTGGAAACTTAAATTTCTTCCCATGTGGCCCAAGTCTTCCTGGGAAGTCGCTGACTGAACACACCTCACCGAATAGATTAGAGATGAAACTGAGCGCCCGGGTCGGGCTCGGTTTCCCGGGGGGCCCCTAATCTGCAGGGCTGGCTTCCCTTGACATCGCCTGCAGGAGCGCGGCTGCTGGGCAGCTCACCCAGAGGTCGGTTGTCCGATACGGCTGAGCCAAAGCTATCTGTTTAGCAGACAACCTATGTGCGTGTCAGGATCAGCAACCATCATCCTTGATGCTGGGTTTTTTCTCCCTCGTTGAAATGGATCTTTTGAGAGCCAGTCAAGGGGAAAGAATGTGGAAGGATGGAGTGCAGTGGGGTACCTCCGTGAAAGAGGCCCTTGATTATATGGGGAACATTAAAAACAGGGAATTTTCCCTTTTACCGCTCATTTCCTTCAGTTACCTATAAATTTCACTGTCAGAGAAACTACCCATCTGTTTTCCTGAAGAAGCGGGTAGAAAACATCCAGAGCGCAGCATATTTAACACAAATGTTCTCCATTGTCGGGAGCAGAGTTTTTGAAGTACATGTACAAGCTCTCTCCCTGCCCCCACCCCCCTAAGAATACTAAGAGCTGCTTTGCATAAGCCGCCGGTTGGGCAGACGGGGAAGGCGAATGCAAATATCATAGGATGGATTATGATCGCCCGGCCCTTGCCTTATGGACAATAGATTTCTCGACAGACCCAACATCAGCGACAGCCAGGTTGCATTTTTAAAAGGACTTTTGTGCATTTTTTTTTCTCCTTCTTAGTACTTAGGAGTCCCTGAAAAGACATCAAAACCGTTTACTGCAGATATTCAGAATAAACGAAACTCTTTTTTTTGCCCTGCATCGGTTGCCTTTGTAATAACAGTCTTCTTATGTGTTTGGATACTTATGTAACTTAAGATGAAAAGACATCTTATAGCCTCCAGGCAGAATGATGGGAAATTAGCCGGCATACCTGCAACTCCAATTTGCCTGCGACGGAGTCCATTTCAGACCATGGGAAAGGGGCACATTTGCTCTGTGGGATCAATCTCATGCCTTCCAATATTTCCATGCAACGACTTTTCCTAAAAGCATGTAAAAAAATACCTTGGCTAACTGGTTTTGTTAATGAACATGAGAGGAAGGGGGTCATGGAGACCTACAGAGGGTTTGCCCAAGAATTTAAGTAACTGGTTTTGGAGTAGATTTGTTTAAATTTTCATGTCCCTCACTGATTTAGCAACATTAAAATGAACCAGGCAAGTTGGGGTGGAAAACAGGAAAGTCGAGATCAAAGTTTCTAAGCAAGTCGGCTCATCTTAAAGGGCCTCAGATGACCCTGCGAAGAAACGGGTATAATTATACCCAGTGCATCAGGTCGTTGTGAAGTTTAAAGACTACCTGAAAGTGTTCTGAGATCCTCAGATGAAAATAGACCACAAACACAGAGTGTTATTATAGAATTCAAAAGGGTGCTTTCCTTTCTGCAATAAAATGCCATGGGCACCGTCTGAACTTTGTCCCTTCCGGCCCTGACGACTCCCGCCATGTCCGACTCTTCACCACACCTGCTTCTCAACCCCTTTAAATCCCTTTGATTTCTGTGGGCCTCTTCACATGCCCCAAGACAATGGCCTTTCATTATGAATACGCTCCTTAGCAACAGTTTCCAGGAAGGAAAAGATATCTCTGCTGTGTCCGGTGGATTCTTATTCATTTCTCCATCATCAACAGCATCATCTGGGGGATGATTGTGGTACCCACCACACCTAACTTGGATTCCACCAGATCACAACGGTCTTTCTAAAGAGAAGCCAGGGAGAGGTCTTGGGTATGCATCTTTTATTTATTCATTTTTGCTGTAATCAAGTAGAAAGACTTGATTGGTCATAACTAAACTTGGTCTCTAATAAACGGATGCTGGCTACACATATTTTTGTTTCCCCTTTGGATCTGCCATCTTCAAAACACAATTTTCTTGTCCAGATTATGTTCATCAGGCAAGAAAAACGGATGGAGGACCCTGTGTGGTCTGAAGCCCCTGGGCTCACCAGTACATGAAGCAGTTGCATAATCCTGCTAAGCCACTTTCTCAGGGGTATTACGTGAAGTTGAATATTGTTTATTTCTAAACACTGAATGCGCTGGAATAGAAAAGACCCTCATCTCCCTGAGGTGGTCTCCTGCTATCCCCTCTTGGAAAAGGGAATGGCAGCCCACTCCAGTATTCTTGCCTGGAGAATCCCATGGACAGAGAAGCCTGGCAGGCTACAGTCCGTGGGGTTGCAGAGTCGGACACGACTGAGCGACTAACACACACAGTATCCCCTCCATCCAGAATACTTCACTCCAGATGGTCACCTGACTCCCTCCTCTTTCTCATCAGAGCTGCACCCAATGCCTCCTGGCCCCTCCGGCTTCCCCACCCCCGCCCCCCACACCGACCCCACTGCCCGTCTCCCCCCACTGGCTCTTGGGACTCTTGTGTTGTTCGGTCGCTCAGTTGTGTCTGACTCTTTGCAACCCCACGAACTGCAGCGCGCCAGACTTCCCTGACTTTACCATCTCCCAGAGACTGCTCAAACTCATGTCTATTGAGTCTGTGGACAGTGCCATCCAACCATCTCGTTCTCTGTCACCCCCTTCTCCTTTCCTCAATCTTTCCCAGCATCAGGGTCTTTTCTGATGAGTCAACTGTTTGCATCAGGTGGCCAAAGATTGGAGCTTCAGCTTTAGCATCACTCCTTCCAATGAGTATTCAGGGTTGATTTCCTTTAGAATCGATTGGTTTGATCTTGCTGTCCAGGGGATCCTCAGGAGTCTTTTCCAGCACCACAATTCAAAAGCATCGTACTTCAGCAACCAACCTTCTTTATGGTCCAACTCTCATGTCTGACCTCCATCTGTCAGTGTCTCCCCTCCATTGGACAGAGAATCAGCCCACAGAGTGTTGACTTCCCAGCACTCCCAGATAGTGTGTGGGAGGGCTAAGCAGACACGCATGGCGGTCCTCAGAGGAGCTTAGGGGCAGGAAGCAAGAGGCATGCTCAGCACGCACTTCCAGCGAGGCACCCCATGCTGGGGGTGGGGGCGGTGGTGACAATGAGAAATGGCTCTCCTACTGCAGCCTTTGTTCTTGAATCCGTGAATTTCAACTTTGGGGGTCACAGCACCATATTTGGCCATTGGTTGGGTGCATTGATGGGTAGCTGAGTCTTTCACAGGATGCTCTGGTATTCTCCCAGGCTATCTGCTTCTGACTGATGAGAGTAGGTCCTAAGACCAGTAGACCACAAGGCCGTGTGCTCAGTGTGGTATCTCCCCAGCTGTAAAGTGAGTTCTCAATTCAAGGTGTGCAGTCAGACCTCGGGGATGGATTCTGTAAGCTCTTTGATGGATGCTGGGGAAGCACTGTGAGCAGAGGAAGCAAACCCATACCAAGAGTGATGGTAGTTCCAGAAAAGACAAACTGCTATTCTACCCAGATTAGAAGGGCTTCCCTAGTGGATCAGCTGGTAAAGAATCTGTCTGCAATGCAGGAAACATGGGACCACTAAGGGATTTGCTGGTGCTCTCAAGGAAGGGTGCCACGTTGAAGGTTCATCACTTGTCTTGGTTGCTGAAAGTTTGAGTGTCCAGCATGGGTATTGGTGTCTATGGGCCACTTAACATGCGCCAAGACAATGGTCATTATTTCTGAGCACTCTCTTAGGAACATAAATTCCAAGAAGAAAGAGGTAACTTTGCTGTCTCTTGTGGATTCTTGCTCATTTCTCTGTCATCAATAGCATCATCTGTGGATGACTGTGGTCATCCAAAGAGAGCAGCCAAACAGAGGTTTGGGGTTCATCATCTTTGATTTATTCTTTTGTGCCATAATCAAGTAGAAAGACTGGCCATTATCTCCAGGACAAGTCATCCCACAGACCTGGTCCCTTCGAGCCTGAACTATGGGACAGGCCCCCTGATGGTCAGTGGACATCCACACACTTTTGCCCACTGCCATATGTCCATCTTCAGACAAAGTTGTTCCCGATCTCCTAATATTGTTCCTTGCAGGCTCCTATCCCATAAGACAAGCCGTTTGCCCATGTCCAGGCATCTGTGGATTTTCTTGCTCCCGGGTACTTTTCTAAGTGTGGTGGATGGCCAGTGTGCTGCCTGAGGGCTGCCCCCCGTGCTCTCTTTCCAGGTTACTTCTCAGAGACGACGTGATGCAAAAAGAGTCAGTCTTCAGCCAGCTCGTGAGAGACACTTCAGCCGCACGACCGCCTGGTGTGCCCTGGCCAGGCACTCCAGCCCTGCTGGAACCTGCCAGCAGCTCACAAGCTGTTCTTCAAACAGCCAGCAGTCTCTATTGTAGAGAGCACAACTTGGGGCTTCCCTGGCAGCCCAGTGGTTAAGACTCTGCACTTCCAACACAGAGGGGCGCAGGCTCAATTTCTGGTCAGGGAACAAAGACCCTGCATGCTGCGCAGTGTGGCCAAAAAAATTTTAAAAATCCTAGAAAGAGCATGTCTTCACTCAGAAACTCCACAGGTCCATGATGAGATGCTCCTGGAGAGGTTTTCTGCACTCCCCACCTGTGCAAGCTCTCATCACCTTGTCTGGTGGATCGCAAGTCCCTAAGGACAGAGAAACTTACACTGCCGCCTCTGCCTGCCAACGAGCCCTCTCCTGATCTGCGTCTCACATGAGATAGAAAGCCTTTCAAACCCCTCAATAAACTGGTTAGAACAGAATTCCTGAGAGTGATATCAATTTCCACCTCCCCCCAAGTCCAAACAACTTTAAGTTTTGTGCTTCTTTCCTGCTAGCTGTAGAAGATGTAGGATGGGCAACAAATGATTCTTTGCTTTAAAGGGAAGCTCCACGGGCCCTGGACACTGGGTCCCTACTCATTTCATTGACATGCAGCCCTTTATATTGTCATAACTTTGTTTCTCACTTTCTGCATCCTCTCTGCTCCAAGCTCACCACTTCCAGTTCGCATGGGTTATCAGTATAGAAGACCAGCCTGATCTATAGAATATCGAGATGACTACGGTCCCTGTGAGGTATCTTGTTTGGAGAATAGGAGAGTTATTGCCAGTGTGGAACCAGAGAGTGAATGTGAACTGCTGTCCTTCTCCCATGATGACAAGTTGCTTTTTATCCTCTTCACCAATGGGACTGGAGAAGAACACTTCTAGAACTTCCATTTCTGGCTCCAAGATGGAGAAGTGACTACCAGAGGAAGCTTCCTGCCATAAAGAACCACAAAATTGGGGGTGGAGGGGGACGAATATGAAGCAATCTTGTTTGGGCAACAGAAAACAGGCATTAAAGACCGTGATCCCTGAGAGAAGGGAAATTGTAAGGCAATCCCATTAATTGCCCTGCCTCTCTGCCTAGGGGAGGTTTCCTGACCATGGTGTAGGAGCAAGAGCAGAGGAGAACGATCTTACTGAGAGGAGGGGACTGCCAAAACGACGTGACTCTGCGGTCAGGGTGCCAGAGAGGAGGGGGCCGTGCCCATAGGAGCACCTCAGACATTTGCGTGAGGGTAACTTGCAAGTCTTTGGCTGAGAGTGGGGTTGTGAGTATATAGGGAAAGACTATGCAAGAATTACCTGAGATCAGGTGCTATGGAGTTGAGAGACCAAAGTTTGCTGAGACATACTGAAGCTCCCGGCCAGCCAGAAACGAGAAGACACATCAGAAAAGTTGTGCCTTAGAAGTAAAGACCATGACCTGCAACAAACTCTGGTCTATATAAGTCTAGAGCCTTAAATCAAGTCTCAACAAGGCTTGAAGACAAAACTCAGAAGGAGACTCAAAGCCACTTAGAGGGGTTCAGGAAACACCAGATCAAAGTCTACGCAAGTTCCAGTTATCAGCCAGAAATCCACCACCTACAAGAATAAAACCAGCAGTACTAGAGACAAATACCAGAATTCCAAATCTCTAAAATGTGCCATCTGCAGTTCCAAATAATAGGAGAAAATCTAGATATGCAAAGCACCA